CACTTAATTTTGGGAACATTCCCGATAGAAAATTCTTCCTCATATTATGCGGAACTGTTTCCTTGTAACTTTTAACTATTTCCACCCCTCCCCTATATGTCACCTCTTTAAAACTTGAAAAGTATTTGAATTCCTTCAACATAGTCTCCTATGATAATTTCCACTTCTCTAACTAGCCAGGTGGCCTTCCTCCAATTGATGATTCATTCTCTCCAAACCTCTGTCCACATTTGGCTGCAATGCTCCTGGCATGTCTGATGCCCCAGAAACCACAGACCCATCGTCCTTGCTCTGGACTGTAGCATCCTGGTCCTTGCTAACGTCAAATTTCTGTGTTACAGTTAAGTAAACAGCACTGAAACCCCTCAGTCTTTATTTTTTGGCATGTGAGTGGTACAACTGCAGCTGCCTCACATGGTAACCTGGCTACCCGGTGTGTGGGTCCATTCATGTAACTATGCTGATTTTGTTTTAGGAGTGTGTCCATAGCCCCCTGATAGGGAGGACAGTGCCTTATTTCTCTTCTACCTCCAGGGCGCAGAGCGAATTGCCTTGCCTCTAGGGAGGCTTTGATAAAAGCAAGGTTGAAAGAGAGGACAGGGCGTTGCTCTCCGTTCTTTGCCGCCCAATCTCCCGGGCCCGTGAGCACTCTGGTACATGGTCCCCCAACCCCGCGGCCCCGCCCTCACCAGCCGCAGTATCTTCACGTGGCCTTTCACGCTGAAGCAGAAAGGGCGCTGCTTCGGTTTCTGCTTCAGAGTCGGCATTGCGCCTGCAGACCCAGCAGCAGCACTTGCCCATCAGTCCCCCTTCGCAGTGCACCACTCCGCCGGGCCTCGCGCGGATACTGCAACCGCCTCACCGCCGCGCGCTGCTCTTCTAGGTTTCTTCGCCCTCGCGCGCGCATGCACACATCACCCTGGCCCGCGCGCATGCGCATGCGCCTTCCCGAAACCGCCAGACGGCTGCTCTGGCTCTGCGGGCTGCTGGGGTTTCCCGGTGCATTTTCACAGATCTAGAGGGCCGCCACGAAGGCCAGCCCGCTGTTAGCAACGCCCCGCCCTGCCATGGACCCAGGACTGCTGCTGTCCAGCTCTCCACAGGAGTTTTTTTTTTTGTCAGGAAGCCCTGGAGCGGGGAGGGGAGGGGGTGGTGCGGTGAGGTGGCAGGTGGGGTGAAGAAGCGGGTTCTGCCACCCCAAACTATGGACATCTCCAGTACCACCACTTTAGGGAGGATTTCCCTTGGTCACTCTGTCTAGAGGAGCCACCATCACCCTCTCCTCATAGCATTTATCACTAGGTGATACATAGATACCTTAAGAATGTAAATTGCACAAGAGCAGGGGCTTGCCTGTCTGCTCTCCGTGCAGGGTGCCCAGGGTCTGGCACATAGTACATGTAGAATGTGTAGTCTGAACGAGTGGTTTGGGCCTCATACCCTCCCTATTCCTGCCCCCTGCGTATCACAGTCTGGGTTTGTGAGCCTGTTTGTTCTGCATGTTTTTGTTTTTGCCTCCCACTGGTGCTGGTTCTTCCCTAGAACGACCTGGGGCCTTCAAATACTCAATTCAGTTCGTGTTTTTCGCAAGTGCTCCTATGATGCTCCATCATCTTTGAGCCTTTCTTTTTAGGGATGTGAAGTATGTGTGGCTCCTTTTATGTGATTTAAATTCTGTCTTGGATAATTTGGCCATCACCCCAGTCCATTCAGACCACTGAGGGTCCTACCCATCTCAGCTTGAGTTCATTTAATTTAGTCAACTCTGATCGGCAGGTACCTCCAACAACCTCATCCCAAGTGACTCCAAAAATGTTGAACCTAATCCTGAACTTTGTTTATAGAGGGTACACTTGCCCTGTGCTAGGGCTGTAGCAGATATTACATGAAGTACAAGATGTGGTTGTGGCTTTCCGGTTACAGATCTAGAGGCTGAGTGAACCGTCTCGAAAATAACTTCCTTTTCCCTGCCCAAGAGATGGGTGCTAGCAGCTCCTATTCTTTTTCTTTTTAATTGAAACCTAGTTGATTTACAGTGCTGTATTTCTGGTGTACAACATAGTGATTCAGTTACAAATACATATGTACATATATACATTCTTTTTCATTGTAGGTTATTACAAGCTATTGGATATAGTTCCCTGTGCTATACAGTGGGACTTTGTTGTTTATCTATTTTGTATATAGTAGTTTGTATCTGCCTATCCTGAACTCCTATTTTATCCCTCCCCCTCCTTTCCCCTTTGGTAACCACAAGTTTGTTTTCAATGTCTGTGAGTCTGTTTCTGTTTTGTAAAGAAGTTTGTGTCATTTTTTTTAGATTCCACATATAAATGATATCACATATTTGTCTTTCTCTGTCTGACTTAGTTCACTTAATACAATAATATCTAGGTCCATCGATGTTGCTGAAAATGGGATTTCATTCTTTTTTATGGCTGAGTAGTATTCTATTGTCTGTTTGTCTGTCTATCTATCTCATGACTTCTTTATCCAATCATCTGTCGATAGACACTTATGTTGCTTCCAAGTCTTGGCTATTGCAAATAGTGCTTCTGTGAACACTAGGGTGCATGTATCTTTTTGAATTAGAGTTTTCTCAAGATATATGCCCAGATTGGAATTGCTGGATCATATGGTAGTTCAATTTTTAGTTTTTTGAGGAATCTCCATACTATTTTCCATAGTGGTAGTAGCTCCTATTCTTTGGAGAAGTGGGAAACCCCGCCGCCTGAGCATCACGGTGGGGATGCACACACTGTCTCTGCTCTTTAACACACAGCTTAGGTTCCCCATCTGCCTCACACTTGTGCTGAATTTTTGCTACCGGACCATGGATGAGACTTACAGGCTTCTCCCCATCCCCTAGTTATCTGTCCAGTGGGAATATTAATTGTGCCTTTGTTAAAAGATAAACTAAGTCATATTAAAATTTTTAAGATTTTTGTCTGAAAAAAAATCGATTCAGATCAGGCAGCATCCACTCTAGCAGATACAAAATAGCTCTGAGGAGCTGTACAAAATGAAAGACTTTCATTGGCAGGAGCGGGAACAAGGAAATTATACTAGGCAAAACTGCCAGTTAGTTATTGCAAGATTACTTTCCTTCAGAGGTATGGGGGGGGGTCTATCAGGCAGATTAATTAACTAGTGCTGATCAGGTCTTGCCTGACTGATTGGTTAAGATTCCATTTCTGGAATAGACAAAACTATAATTGTCTTGGTTTGGTGAGTGAGGCTTAGCATATGCGATTCCATTTTGGGCTTGTTGTCTTGTTTTTAAAATAACTTCCTGAAAGATCTAGTGTATTTACAGTCCAGACCTTCAAAATGTCAAAGTTCAGAGGAGAGAGTGCTGGCTGTGAAGCAAGGCAGCTTCTCGAATTCCAGTTCCACCCCTTAATGAATGCTTCTGATCACTTTTAACAAGTTACTTACGTTTCTGAGGATCAGCTCAGCTCAGAGAATGGGATTGACAATATTCACTTGCACGGTTTTTGGGAAGAATAAGTGACACTGTGAGTATGTGCCAGGTGCCTGGATTCAACAGGTGCTCAGTTAAATAATCTCCAATAATTAATCAACCAATCAGTCGCAGGTATTTTTGGCCACCCATTCCCGAGCCTTGCCAAGTCATGAGTTCATTCTGCCAGCGTCCGTTAGCGGGACGATTTCCAGGCTACAAATGGCAAACCCCTCACCTTCTCCCAGAGGTGAAATGCGACGGAGTCTCTTTAAGAGAGGGCCGGCGGGGCGGGCGCCGGGCTAGAGGCGGAGCGCCGAGGATGCGCCAGTCTCCGGGCCGCCCTCGCGCCGACTCGCGCCGACTCGCGCAGGAAGGAAGCCGGGCCCGCCGCATCCGC